TTGTATATGTTTGTAGTCTATAAACAGAACTCACATGGAGGCAGGGGGAAGTTAGCAGCACTGGTGACTGAGTGGCTGGAGACAGCAACGTTAGAGCAGGTGTTTATGTTGCATGTGTGGAGTGACAGACCAAACTCCGTTCAAAAATGTGACAGTTTACAATTTTCTTTCGTTAGGCAAAATGGACTCATCTTCAATTGTGACTTAAGCGACTCAATAATGTTAGAAGAGTATTTAGAAATATTCGGCATGAGAAATAACCCGAAGCATCTCTTTATGTAAATAAAATCAGAAGTTTTCTAATGTGCTAACACAGCTAGCAATAGCAGTGGACAAACCCAATTGAGACTAGGCAAGAACACAATAAAAGTAGATTTTTTAAAAAGCTTAAGTAAGTCATGTTTGGTGTATGTAAGCCGAATTAAATAGAGCCTCTTATTAATTCATGGAAAGTCGTAAGAATTGTTATATTACTTGTGGTTTACAAAAACGAAAGTGGTACGTTCCATTTGTCAGATTTTTAAGCGGAGTTTGGCGGAAGTGTGCGCGTTGATTGACAAGAACAGAAAAAGACAAAGAATAACAATGCAGGAATATGTATTTCCGACACTGGCAGCTAGTGCCCACAATATGCTGGCTAGTCACATAAAAACCAGCCTACAAGAACCTCTTGGTCCACTTTAAGCCACTCAGTCTCCCCACAGTCCCCAACTCCAATGACACCATCCACCGGCTACCACAAATTACAAACCCAACCAGTGCTGCAGTGCTGAGAGCAAACACCGCCACAACCACCGACTTTAAACCCTATAACTAGTTCACAGTAAAGACAAACCAACTTACTTTAACTCCAATGAATGAAACTCCTCTCTCCCTCCGTTGTTTTCATCGCCTCTGCTCCTTTAAATAAAGCCACGTGTTTTTTCCTCCGTTTCTGTGAGTTATTGTGGGACAACAGGAGCGTTTATGGGGTTTTGTCCCGACGCGCTTTTGTTATGATAATCCTAAAACCCCATACACTCTAATATATTCTGCAAGATAATCTGAAGCTTCACAAAGGGAGCTGTCTGCTTGCCCACTTGTTACAACACGGGTTCATCCACTGGTGCGTTGGTATATCCCAGTTCATTCAAACCGGTGCGGGACTTTACAGTCATTGTGAGTCTTGTCCATTGTCTCCTTCCCCACGCTAGTCACGTAAGTAAAGACGCTATCTCACACACACACACACACACACACACACTGGCCGGGGCTCCTGTAA